TTTTATCAAGATTTGATTTCAAGATCACATATGGATTCGGAAACCAATAAGGTTTGTCAGATGCCCTTTCTAGACGTTTTGATCTTGTACCAAAAGAAGGAGATGCATCTTTTGATCAACAAAGAATGATTCTCTTGAAGCCACAGTATTTCCATCTTCAAGTAATGAAATCAACATTAACTGTTGATTCGACCCTTGTAAAACAAATCCAATCAAGTATATCTTCTGATCTTCTTATTCACAATATTAAGAATTCTTCTTCTAAGTCCCAAGTTACTTCTAAGTTTGAATTCAAAAATAATCTACTCTATTTTGAAGGTTGATTATATGTTCCAAAAAGAAAAACACGATAGTTTGTTCTTCAAGTACGTCATGACTTTCTAGCAACGTGACATTTTGAATACAACAAAACTTTAGAGCTTATATCTAGAGATTTTTGGTGGCCACAAATGTAGATGGATTTGAAAGACTTTGTTCAATCATGCAACATTTGTTCAAGATCAAAAACTCTTCATCATCGACCTTATAGACTTCTTCAACCATTACTTATTTTAGAACAACCATGGTCTTTTGTTTCTATAGATTTTATCACGGATCTTTCAATCTCACGTTCTTATGATTCTATATTCGTGATAGTAGATTGTTTTACCAAGATGGCATATTTTCTACTATGTACAAAATCTATTATAGATAAAGAAATAACTAAACTCTTTCTTGACAACATCTATCGCTATCATGGATTATCCAAGGATATTATATCCAAAAAGGGAACTTAGTTTGTATCAAGATTTTAGCAGATTCTTTTCAAGATTCTAGAAGTGGATATAAAACTATCTTCAGCATTCCATCTTCAAGTTGATGGATAAACTGAGCATGTTAAACAAGTTTTGCAACAATATTTAAGATGTACCATCAATTATCAATAAGATGATTGGACAACTCTTTTGCTATTGGTAGAGTTTGCTTATAATAATACAATACATTCTTCTACAAAATATACACCTTTTTTTGCCAATTATGGTTGTCATCCATGACTTGATACTTTTGACTTTTCAAAAGCTGATAATCCTATGGCAAAAGATTTGGCAAATCATTTGTTTTAGCTACATACAACAATGAAGGTGCAATTAAAAGAAGCTGAAGAACAACAAAAGATCAATGCGGATGCGTATCAAAAAGAACAACCACCATTCCATATCGGTGAAAAGGTATGATTACTTTGTCACAATATCAAGACTATTCATCCTTGTTACAAGTTGGACTATCATAGGCTTAAATTATTTTCTATTTCTCTACAAATCAATCCAATTGCATATTATTTATACCTACCAGAGTCAATGAAATACATCCAATATTCTATGTGTCTCTTCTTGAACCATACAAGATAGTGGACATACCAAGAAAAAGACAAGTGCCACCTCTTCCTATAGAAGTGGACAACAGTGAAGAATTTGAAGTAGAAAAAGTCTTAGACTCAAGGCGGCACCAAAATAAGTTAGAATATCTTATTTATTGACACAGATACAATATGAGTGAATGAACATAGGACCTAGCAAAGAATCTTGTAAATGCAGTAAAGAAAGTGGAGGATTTTCATTGACAACATCCATCAAAATCAAGATGAAGACCTTCCTTATAAAAGAAACAAGATCTAGGTAAGATAACATTCTACTTTCAATCCTTGTTTTAAGCTTCTTTGTATTTGTGATGTGGAAGAAATGAACAACCAACAATCAATTGATTCAACTCAAGAGCCTTCATTTGCTGACCTATTGGATGAGACATTGCAATTGTCACAACTTTTAAGATGATGCAATTGAGATGAAGATCCTCAAGAATGGCATGTTCTCCCTCGAATAGATGGCGAGATATAATGCATTTGGTATCACGACCTTAGAAGAAACTTCTGATATTTGGTAATTTTATTAGAGGTAGGAACAACTCCTAATGGTGTTCTAAATGTTTTATTTGAAGGAAGTTATGAAGGCCTCAACAATGACCAAATAAGAAGGTGGTCTTTCTTCTTAGTATGGGATACTATCAATGGTTGAGAGGTCCTATCAACCATCTTCAAAGAAAACAAAGATTTGAATATGTGGTGGATACAATTTGTCACATTATAGATTTTTTTCAACATATGATGAATGCTCTTCATGGAACTTGTCCTCAAAAGAGGGAAATAATGTCACAGACATTCACATGTAAGCCAATAATTATCTATATAAATAAGTAGAAGTAGATAGAAGTAAGTAAAAATAAGTTAATTCTATAATATCTTCTAAAAAGCTTTTTAGAAGCTTCATAGACGTTTCTTTGACTTTATAGGTGTCTATTGTTGACTTTTAGGTTAAAAACTTGGTCAACAAATTAACCATGTGTTGTATATGTTGGTAGCTTGAAGAACAAGCTAACTATATGACAAGCATATAAAAAAACTTATCTTATAAGTCAAGGCATGTGTCCTACAAAGTCAACACATATTGGAAGTCCTATAAAATATTGCCACGTAGCCTCTAGTTAGATAGTATATATAGAAACAAGAGTGAAGCCCTCTTCACTTTTTTCAACTCCTTTTTTGCTTCTAGTCTAGTTTCAAGAGTCTCAAGTTTTTTTGTCTTTTGGCAATAAGCCATTTTAGTTTCTTTTTAATATATGTACTTCCTTATTTCTATTTTGTCACTTTTTCTTTGATACGGATTTCATTGATTTATCCATCATCTTTTAGTTCATGACTTTGATATACAGTACAAGAGAGACCTTCAAAACAAAATATTTTTAAATTCAAACATATATTAATTGTTGTTGAACTAATAAGCTTCTATTTGTTTTAACTAAAGTTTGTTAATTATTTAAGTTATAAGTCACTGCTCACTAAATTAATAATTACCTTTCATATTATGAATGATTCTACAACTTTAATGTTTTGCACATAATTTCAAACTTTAATACATAGTATCAATTTTTATAAGTAAAAATAAACACTATAACTATAGAAGGTGCTTACAAAGGATGAAGAAGAAGCAAAGATTAAATAATAGAAGAATGAGAAGAAAAAAGAATACAATGGTAGAGACTTAACTATGTAGTGGATTTCAATATGAATGTTGAGACAAACAAGCATCTAAATAGAATAGAAGTTGCTACAATTGAGAACAAAGTTGACATTTAAGAGTTTGGCAAATTGCTACATGAATTTCTGAAGAATCAAAGAAAAAAAGACAATGGTAGGGACCTAATAAGTGATCTAATTTACTCACCTCCATCCAAAACAAAGTTTATTAAATATTGGTGACAAACGATTTGTGAAGATGTTAATCAAGTATTTAGTGGAGTAATAACTTAGGTTAGTAAAAATGTCACTTTGAGATTAAATCAAGAGTAGTTATTGCACGAATTGCAATAATTATATTTGATTCATCAGATGAAGAGTAAGATAGATGAAGACCAAGATGGATAAAGATCCAATTAAAGTAGAGCTTAGGATTAGGATTGCACTTAGGATTTTGAAGGGGGATTTTAAGGACTTTCAATCTTCTTTTCTTTCAAACTCTTTTATGTATTGTTAGTATTGTTTATATTGTTATTATTATTAGAGGGTTGTAAAAGTATGTAGGAAGTTAGAGGTAGGAATGTAAGAGCCAAAAAGGGCTTAGGAGGCCAATTTAGGACTAGTGTATACCACTTATATTAATAGATATTTAGAATTGCAATCCTTAGTGTTAAAGGAGGCAATACCCTATATTGTCAAATTTTGTATTATATAGGTAATTTTAAGTTAAATTAATAGATTGGTTTTGTAGATTAAGTGATTGTATATCCAAATTAGTGTCAGATCTAAGTAAAAAGATTAGATCTAGTTGTAGATCTAGATTTTAGAGGTTCAAGATGATGGATAGATATTAAGGCCAACGACAATGTCTATGACAATAACTCAATTTTTTGAAGGTTTGAAAGGCTGGTGGCTCTTACCATCCTTCACAAAAATATAAAAACCTCATGTTCAAGACAAATGTAAAAAACTTGGATAACAATGGCTACAATAGAAGGCAAATTCTTTGGTCCCTTAATCTTACTACAATTGGGAGCATATGAGATGTTGAAAAGAAAGGGTTGTTGAAAAGAAAAGCCTTGAGAAGGATGAAGACATGGAGGCTTTGCTAGTCAACGAGAGGATAATGTACATGCTTTTTTTACCATTGGGATGAGCACATAATTTCAGCCTACTTATGAACAGTCAGTAATTAAATTAATCAAGATTTTAAGAGTTGCACTAGTATTATTTCAGCAACTTCATTTTGTAGGACTTTGTAGGACTTTGTGTTTGTGCATGAAAAGCAATTCTAGATTCACAATGGTTTTGGTTATTATGAAGCAATTCAATCATGCTTGATCACCTAAACGTCTGTAATTGAAATTGGAGTTATAGGGTTGTGATGGCAATCAAGAGGAAAACGACGGATTTGTGCAAACAGCCACTCAAAATAAGAAAACAGTATAACGCAAGGTAATGGTGTAATTGATAGTTGAAATGGGAGGAAGTTTTATAATGTGCAACAATTCGAATGGCATGCCTAGATATTCTAGGCCTTTTATAGCTAACTGCTTCTTCAGAATTGTGATGTTTTACCCAGCTGATTCGTCAGCTTATGATGAATCACGTCCCAGTAGCACATTTTATGCAGCAAGTTGAGTAATTTAGCTCAAGTGGCGAATCCGCACAAGAGACTACTGCAAAAGCTGAATGTAGATTATGGTTTCACAGGAACACATATTTAGATGTACAAAACCCGTACACAAGAGTTAGAACATAGTTCTTTCAATGGGAGCTGAAAAGCACCACCTGTAACGTCAAACCTATTTCCAACACAAATCTCAAGGCAAGGGGAGACTATCTTCACTGAAAGGTACTGGGGAATTGAACACATGGAGCGGCGAAAAAAGAACTTCCAGACGAAGGTTTATGTGATAGTTGAGACACTTTGGCAAAGCTCGTCAGGATATGAAAAAATATAAGCGAGACTTCTCAATTACCATCAAATAGCTGCTGTATATGTATCATATAACTGTTAGATTGTGCGTTAACACACAGAAGCCTCAGTAGTTTTAGGTTCTACCATACATCCAACATGCTGATTCAAGAACTTAGCTTGAAAGAGGGCAACGTGAGCTTCTCATTGTAAACTTTGAGGGAAAGGGTCTTTACAATGAACGCACCTTCTCTAGTGGCAATCAGCTTTGATTTCTTCATCTTTCTTAGGTTGCTACCTAATTACCACTACACCAGAGAGAAATTCTAAAAGATTATGACTTTTAAGTCTCTTCTCCCCTTTAGCAGATACAGCTTTAAAAAATAAGAATGCTCCATTCACTTCTCCTTCTTTGCACAATTATTTTATCTCAAGACTGCGACTTATTCTTCCTCATCATTTCAACAAAGTCAAAGAAAGCTGCACACAAATGATAGAACAAAGTCAGAATGAAGTGAAATCCTGAAGAGCATCAACACACAGCCTGCAGTGCACTTGTCGAAAGTTCCATGAAATCAAGTACGTATTTTACATCACTTAAGATCAAACAAGAGACACTGGGTTTGTCATCAAACATCAGCATAAAGTAAATCTAATTCTTCATGTAGAAAGTTCGAAGTAAACGTATATGGTAGTGAAAACACAAATAATAAAACCTACAGGTATAATGTTCAGCAATAAAATGTTGCCGCAATGAATATCCATTTATAAATGAATCATAAATACAGTAATGAGTTAGGTGTACCTTGGTCAGAATCATGAGGGCCAGGGGAAGCCTCAGGATGATACTGAATGCTCATCGCTTTCATAGCAGGGAATACAAGGCCAGCACAAGTCCCATCATTCAGGTTAATATGTGTGACTTCCACACCCTCAGGAAGTGTGTCGGGATCTACAGCATAATTGTGATTCTGCGCACAAACGAAGTCGTTAAATAATGATCGAGTTAACTTCTAAACAATTAAACGAAAGCATGGATTCAATCGATAGACAAATATTGTGCTTATGTATATCACGGCATGTGTCCTAAGTTTCAGCATTTGAACCTGAACTCTGAAGGCTCACAAAAGTTTACCCCTCAACTAGACCATCCAAATCCGTGTCATTCTGCACAGAACTTTATGTCATGTAATCTAGCACAAAGTCAGCATGTATTTGCAGAAGTCAAAAGATGAACTTGAATCATGACTATGACCTGGGCACTGATTTCCACGCGGCCGGTGGGCAAGTGGCGAACTGGATGATTTCCACCGTGATGACCAAATTTCATCTTGAATGTCGTACCTCCAAGTGCCTGGCCTAGTAACTGGTGACCCATGCAAATTCCAAAGACTGGGACTTTGCCTACCAAGTCCTGCACACTTTTGACAGCATAGGGAACAGCGGAAGGGTCACCGGGTCCATTGCTAAAAAGGATTCCATCCGGATTGAGATCCAACACTTTTGAGGCTGGATATGTGGATGGGACAACAGTTATTTTGCACCCATACGAAGTTAGCCTCCTCAGAATATTTTGCTTTACTCCAAAATCGTATGCCACCACCTGAACCAGATTCACAAGTATCAAGAGAGGAAAACTAGTTGGCGGATAATGCTTGATGAATCTGAAGATGTAGCCATATACCCAGAAAGCATGACAAGAGAGGAAATATATGGTGACTCATTGTGTCAAAACACAATTGGCATGACACTTCCAAGAACTTACATGGAACTTCGTATCGTCTGCATCCGGAACATTTGGACTAAACTCCCACTCGCTATCGGTTTTATCTTTCCATTCGTAAGGTTCGGTGCAGCTTGCATCAGAAATTAAGTCCTTTCCTATAACAACCCCACAAACGATGTAAAAAATAAGACACAACACTGATGAATACAAATCTCATTGGAACGAGATAGCATCCCACCAATGAACCATAGTTGGGGATCGCCGAATAGGTAAGTATGTTGAAACGTTTGACAAACCTCCAAGTACTTGCAGATTGCTCTTCCAAAGCCCATTCCACTCGTCAAACAAAGCCTCATAAAGTCGACACTTCTAAACCAAAACATACACCAAAAAAAATCTAGAGACTCAGAACAACCATGCTGAACACCAAAAACGTCTCAATGTCGATCAGATTTAAATTGAACGGTCACTGATGCTACCAAGCACAATGATTTCAAGAGCATACAATGTTATTAAGTCTCCATGAGGTTCAAAGGACAGCATATTTACCCTTGAAAACGATTTAACCATGCTTTGACTTGCAAGAAGTGAACAAGATGTATCAGTCTGCAGTTTCCAAAGTATGATTCCTTACCTACTATCTTCCAGGTTTTAGCCATCTCCATTAGTTCGTCGTCAGTCTTGGATTTGTCTGTAGTGAGCACACCTATCAAACTACCCTCCTCCCGCAAACGCCTAGTGATGGCCCGAGTGTCAATATCAGCTACAATCACCTCCGCAGGAATAACCACCTTAGGATAGAATACGGGTAGCACTGCTATGCAGTGTATGCATACGATGTATACGATGTATATGGGTAAACATATATTGAGTTTATATATCAATTCCATCTACGGAAGCGGCAAACAAGACAAATTCAAGGTCGACAGAGAAAGAGATGATCGTGCCTAACTGCAACTAGAAATCACCACACTGCAGTTGTTACACTTGAAGCAAGCCAGAAGATCACTATGGCCTCAGGGAACTTACAGATTCCCATAACATTTCTTTTCCTAAGGTATTCAGGAAGCTCTTCTGAAGACCGCCAATTTGATACTCTGAAGTCCAGGTAGTTTCATCATGAGAAGAGTAATCCATAACGAAATTAGAAATCGAGCCAATAACAACACCCTTAGATGAGAAGCAAATGAAGGATGAAGAGCCAACTGTTATAATTACTAGCTTTAGGTTCCTTATCCGAGCTGCTAAAATATGCCTCCTACTTACATCGGATGCATACTAACGTAAACACACTTTCGACAATTTTATCAAATACTTAACCTCGTCATACATAGTACTCTCCACTGTGATCAACAGATTATAAGAGTGCCTTTCATGTTCTACTTTAATCAGCTTAATAAGCTCGTCACCCCAAAAGAGTATTCAATCATTCTTATTAAATGCTAGTTAATTGCACGAATAGCTGACATGTGATCTTATTCTTATTATTTTATATTACTAATTTTAGAGTTGTAAGGTATATCATTTGTGAAGCACACAGCTTTAAAATATAGAGATAAGACTTGCTGGACCTAAAGCACACGAGCACCAAATACTTCAAACCGAAAGCATAAAGAGAAAAGATACGGACATGTTACTAAGGCTGCGAATGATCAATCCGCCCGTGAAGCACTGGCCAGACTCCTCATCATCTGTAAACGAAAAGTTGAGTAAGTCTTAAGAATAGACGTGACTTGCACAGCTAATTCCATCACACGATTCGACAAAACAATTTCTTGTCAAGACTACAAAAGCTGGGACAAGCTGACGCCACATCAGTAAAGCGCACAAAAATTGAGCACAAATACGACGTTCATTAAAAAGGCTTCAAAATTGGTACCAAGATTGATCCCAGTGTTGCCGATATGGGGTTGAGTCATGAGTACGAATTGGCCAGAGTAACTTGGGTCCGTCAAAATTTCCTGGTAACTGACGGAAGCAGAAGATACAAGAATTAGACTTCTCAAACACTGTCATTCTCCACTCATTCATACTTTTGAGACAACGCTGGCTTTAGATCAAACATTATTTTTTACAACGGGAACTATGAGTGGAATTACCCGGTCAAAGAAGTGTTGAAAACCACTTCACCAACTTGGGTACCAGTAGCTCCAAAGGACTTCCCACGCCAAATTGACCCATCCTCTAGCACTAGCCGACAGTCGGACGTCTTCCAGGGTCGAGCAGCTGCCAAACAAAAACAGAATTCACGCCCTTCAGATATTCGTGTCATATTTACTTGAGTTCCCGGATCAGTAATACATGAATCCAAGACCAGGCTCAAACCCAGTTTTTTTCATCAGACTATGAGATGATTCATCATTGCATTATAATCTTCGTTATAAGATCGGGAATTTCGGAATTAGAGTTCAAAAATTATAAAACCCAGCGGCCAGTCTACGGTAGTACCCGATTGATTCGGTCAATTCACTTCAGAACTGTAATAGAAGAACTTCTCCTAATGAATCTAATGCTGTGCAAAATAATCATTGAATCCTGCATCTTTGCCCTTACCAAAATTAGAGTTACCGATACCCTTGATATCACCATTCACAAACCACTCAATCCCCTTAAACCCTAAACCCTAAAATTTCAAGTCTTCAAAATCATCGGAAATAAACCCCAAGTGCAAGGCTAAAACCATAGTGAAAGCATTAATCATTCAATCTAAGAGACCGAAAACTATTCCTGAGCGAAATGAGATGCGAGAGTGGTTCAATACCAGTCGCCGCCGTCCCGTCCACTGCGGTGGCAGCATCACACCTGACAAGCACGGAGCTCGCTCGGGTACCCGCCTTCACACTCGCAGGGGCCACTGCCGCCACTTGCAACCGGCCTCGAAAACCAGACGAGGAGGAAGACAGATGAAAAGACTTCAAATGAGCTGCAGCAATCCCTCCGCCGCTGCGTTGGCATAGCAACCCAGTCGTAGGCTGCGCCTGGGGTTGCACACCCACTTGCATACCCAGAGCCATGGCAAATGCAAAACTTCGTCAAATCTCCCCCGCAACCCTGCTCTGCGAAATCCCTCCCCAAATTCCCGAAACCCACAACCCTCAACAACTCAAAATGCAAACAAACCAGCATCCAAAGCGACTAGTGACTTGTGGGGAGCGTGCGGTGCGTGTCAGGGTGGGTGATGAATGAGCAGAAATCAGGGCTACCACGACCTCACACAGAGGAGATGCAGGAAAACAACAATGTGGGGAGATTCCTACCGGCAATTCGAATTCCTCAGTGCGAAATTTCTGGCTTGCTTGCTTGCTCGCTGATCTCAATGATTCTTCGGGTTTGTCTGCGCCGCATCCCTCGCCTGGCCGTTCTCCTTCCTCCTCCTCCACTAGGAGCACGAAGTTCCCCAAGCAGAGCTCCCGCCACATTTAGCGGCGCTTGAGGCTGGCGTCCGTTAAATTAGTAGAGGGTTCTTTTTAGGGTTTTAGACACCGACTGGGGAGTCTTGCAATGAGGAAGCCATGGACCGATGAAAGCATGATATGGGTTCTTTTTACCGGATGGTCTTTTGTTTTGTCAACCAATTTTATGGATGTGTTGGAAATACAGTTTGATGGTAATCATCTTCATTCTATGATTGTTTTTCCCCTTAATCCATCTTTTAACCAAAATGTCTGCATTTGGGATTGAAGCTTGTGGACAATGTTTTGTTTTGGAAAATAAGATAGAAGATGGCTTAGACTATAGTGTACATCCATGCAGTTGGCCACAAAAAAGATCAAATATTTAAAATGTAAAATATAATTTCATGTAATGGCCATGCAAGGCAGCACTGTTTTTCACAATCTCCATTAGGAGCTTCTAAGCTCAAAGATGGTTTTTGAGCTCTTGTTTGTCCCATTGGTTTATCCCCTAAGATATTTTATATAAGAGATGTTGTGTGTTTTTTTACTACTTCCTTGTTTTTATGTGTCCATGTGAAAAAAAAAATTAATTTTATCAATAGATAAAACACTGTTATTGGGTGTTATGCTTCTTCAAATGACTATTGCAATACTTTAAAATCATCAAGTATTGCTAAAAGTTCTATAACATAAATCTTGCAATTAGTTTTATTTTGTAGCAAAATGCTTTTGAAAGCATTTTACAAAACTTGATGGCTTTGCCATATTGTAAAAATTCCAATGTCAATAGAAAATTAGAGGTTGTTTGATCTTTTTTATTTAAATGTGTTCAGAAATTTGTTGATGTAAAAAGATCATACAAAATTATTTTCAACCTAATTATTTAATATCATTTTTCTTCTTCTTAGTTAACTTCATTAATTAGGTATAATTTTTTTAAGAATTGGTTATAAAGTCTTTGTAGAAATCTGCCAATTCAACAAAACATTATACATTCTTAATAAATTGGATTTTTTTATTTATTTTTTATTTTTTTAAGTTACTCAATAGTTTAATCTTTTATGTTTTTATTTTATTTTATATTTTTGATCTAATAACATAATTAAATGTAAATATTCATTGTTTTTTAATTATGTTTATTCTTCTTTTTGTGGTTGTTTTTCTTCTTTTTTTCCTCTATAGATAGAATAAAATTATAATAATATTTATTATTATTATTATTTATATTATTATTATTTATATATACACACATTTCAAATATATGACCAAAAATTTGTAAAGTATTAATAAAAAATATATATATAATTTTATTTTAGAAGTTATGAAGGCACTTTGAATAGAGAATGTTTCTGTCTAAATGACTTGAAATAAAAAATGACTTTCATATTTTATAAATAAATATTGGTTTATGTTGGTCCTCTTTTTAATCTTAAATTGATTTTAACTGGCTCTCTAATTAATTTTTGTAAAGATTTGATTTGTTTTAAAGTTTTCAATAGTTTTCAAAATGAATACAAATTAGAATTAAAATTAAAAATATTAATATTAATAAAAATAAATAGTGCCTTCTTTATTAGAACCTATTTTTTAAAGATCTGAAAATATATTTTCACTTGTTAAAATTGAAATATTTATAGAATACCACTTTGTAAAGTTGTATGCACATCAAACATGCTTGCAAGATAATATTACAACTGTTGATATGGTTAAAAAAAAATAAAGAAAAAATGCATGATATTTGCTTAAATAATGGTCTTTTAATTGAGTTATTAATTTTTAAAAGAATGCATAATTATCATTTGTACTTGTTTAAGATTTAATACTAGATAAATTTCTGACATAAAAATAACATACTAGAATTTCTTTTGAGTTCCAACTACAGCTCAAAATCCTCTAATCAAACCCTCAAATGTTCTAACAATTTATTTTTTAAAAAGAAGGATTGTATAAAAGTACTTTTGATTGTTGTGGCTTCAACAAACTATAAATCAAAAAACTTCTAATTGTGACCATGATTGGTAGAACATAAAAACGGTGAAAGGTCAAAAGAGTATGAAAACATCCTACAGTCAAACTCCAATACCAAAAGACAACTAGATTGCTCAGATTCAATCACATTCAGAAGACCAGGGTTCATAAAATGAAGACCCAAATATTCTATCATTTGAGTCTAGATGAGGCTCTGTGAGGTGGGGTTTGGAAATGGTGGATTCAACGTGGTTGGAATCACAACGTCGACTGCAACCTCACTTTCAAAAAAACATGAATCAAAGCTCAACTTGTGTGTCTACAAATCACACGATCAGCAGAGCTCATGAGTTTCAAAGACCATGTTAAAACCACACTAACCACATTTCCACAACGTCACAGATCGCCAACTTCGCTGCAATTACCGTGTTGCGACATGTTTTGCTAGATGTTGGTTGTGATAAAATCTCGCCCTGGAGATCAACAATGGCAACACGAACAAGTGTGTGATCAACACTCCGATTGCAGTTCTTCTGCGGTTTAGTTTGGTGGTTCGCACTCAGTGCGCTTTTGTCCTTGCCTCGCATGATCTCAGTTAACCAAAATCGTCAATTAACGGACATGAGACGATGTTTGCGAGTGTGGTCATGGTGAGCGTCAGACAAGTCAGAGCCTCTGCATGGCACCGTCTAGATCAGCCACCACACATGGAAACATAATTCCGTGGTACCCTCTTCTTGACCTGCTTCATGTGTTGCAACGTGAGCTAGTCGATCATCATCATCAACGAAGGAGGTCTCTCGCTTACTCGTACACATCATCAGGTGTATAAAGCTCACCTGTTGCAGAAGTATAATCTACTGCAGTGTCTCTACTCTGTTTTCGTCTTCACGGAAATGGCGTCCACCGGATCCTCCAGGAGTATTTATCTCGCTTTCCTAGCGCTCCTCCTTTGTCAAGCTCTTATTCCTCCAGCCCTTGCTGACAGATCTCTTGCTGAAGGCCAGCATCCTGTGGAAGAGCCTACGAGCGTTGCAGTAAGTTCTAACTTTGTGAGGTTCACTCCAATGCCATATGACAAGCCAGTGATATGATCTTTTGGTGATAGTGTTGGTGACGTTTTTGCGTTTGACTGTCAGGATTTGATCACTAGGAAACTAGGGACGTTCCGGAGATGGTACGGAGGAGGAGGGTGTGACCGGTGCGGTGGAGGATACAACAACGGCCCAGGCTATGGATGGGGAAATGGACCAGGGTATGGCAATGGGCCTTATCATCGGGGAGGAGGAGGAGGTGGTGGTGGGGGTGGAGGCGGCGGGGGTGGTGGCGGTGGCGGTGGCGGTGGTGGCCGCAAACTGTGATCGATCTTCGTTATCCGACAAGAGGGTCCATCTAGTATGGATCACACATAGCAGGCGAAAACAGTGGATATCAGTACGTATCATGAGTCCCGCATGCTGACATTCAGGGACTGCAAGGCACAAATGCAATGAAACTTCCATGGAAGCGACGTCTGTGGAAAGAGAATCTATACGTGCGGTGGTCTGGTGTGAATATCGTCTTGTCTAGCCTCAGGCTGTCGATGGGTTCACTGAACGCAGACCTGGAATTGGTTGAAGTCACATATTTAGTGAAAAGTCGCCCCCAAGTTAATAATATGATGCAATATAATGGTTTCCATCTTATATTTCCCGGTTGGAATAAAAAAAGTTTTTTCTTCTGTAATTGGGCTACTAGATGAGATCGCCAATGTCCCACTCCCTCACCATCAAATAACAAATTGGATGTTATTTCGATCAGTTTATGGTTGGTTGTGAAAAGGTCAATGCTGAGTATCATGCGATTCCTTGAAACCTCAGCTCACCACCATAACCACAAGCTCGGCAAATTCAACAACTCATGAAAATCTGTATCGCCAACAACAAAATCCATAACAAGCCCTTCAGAACTAGTAAATAAAAATCGAAACGAGGAATCTAAATGGAATGCAGTTGTCGCATGCGCTGCACATCACCAGAAAAAAACACGTTCTGTACACCCAGCACCGGTACACTCACCCTCACACATTTATCACCCCCATTTCATTCAATCTGAACCAGAACTTCACGTGCTTGCTGCTTTCAGTACAGAGGCGAGAAAAATCTTCCCATCCTTGTTGCAGGATGAAAACTCTTCACAATAGAAAAAGAATAAATACATGTAAAGCAGGGATTTGCCAACTGCATTGAGTTCTACTCACATCGGTGCCGCTTCAGTGCGCCACACTTTACACAATCTTAGAGCGTATAAAATCATTTCTTTCTCAGATGGGTGCCTGCAAATTAAACTTATCAGTATGGCTTGCTCTGGATTCCGCACTGTGAGATGATTCACGGTGACAAGGTGTAGTGACCGGGAGTTGTATTTTTGACAAATGACGTTTTGTTTTATTTTGTTTCTTTGTTTCTTTTTTAAAAAAAAAATATATATATATATATATATATATATATATATTGAGGTTCTTGATTAATAATCTGCTTCAATAGCTTTGATGTAAGGAAAAAAAAAAAAAAAAAAAAAAAAAACTGTGGGAGAAAAATGAAATATTGGAGTTTGGTTTCTGGTGAAGTAGGGTGAAGAATATTTTTCTGCTAAAGACGTGTGTGCTTTAATACATTTTATGAAGTAAATGTTTTAAAATAAATAAATGAGAAAATAAATAATTTCATAGCAAATCTTATATTTTAAATATTGTCACAGCAGACATCTTTCATAGTCCAAACCAATAAATAAATAAATGAAAGCTACGTTGCTACATTAAATTTATTTATTTCATGGAAAGTAGTATGAATAATAAATGGTTAACAGTTGAATTTGTCTTTAGACTTTATTCAAGTTCAGTGACTTAGATAATTTTAAAAACAAATCATGTTATGGTTATGTCTATTACAAAGGCTTTTGTACTTACTTCTGCTTCATATTTGTTATAGAGCTTTTAGATTCAAAACTACATTTGTGGATATGAAGCAAGTACAACAACCAGAAATTTCATAATAATTTATAAACTAGTAGGCTTATTTACCATTTATGAACATTAAAGCGAAATGTATTTATTTAAAAGAATTAGATAATAGAATGTAACACACTAGTTTATATAATATAAAACTTTCAATAAACACTAGATTACAAGACTTATTCAATTAAATGATAACTCCAGTAAAAACATCACCTTACAATAATACATATTCACAAATTTATATATATATATATATATATATATATATATATAGGTATATTATTATTATTATTATTTTGTGGATGTCAACAGTGTATCAAATAAATCAGAAACTTTTGTAACATTTGAAGCAATATTTTAATTCTATGTAAAACAATTTTAAATCCATCAAGATACAAAAAAAAAACTGATTATAAATATTTTTCATGTTAGAATTGCAGTTAAAACTAAATTTTTATCCAATATCTGATATAGTATTATTATTATTATTATTATCATCATAGTCATGCAATAAGGATATAAGTTAGAAATCTGCAAGTAATTCTAGTTTATTGTCTTTGATTCTTCAAAGCCTTAGCTGCACAATAACTTACACCTTTCAGACACTGCATCAATGCTTTTAAACATTTTTTTTTGGCGTGTGTGTGTGTCTTTGTTTGTGCCCGCCGTTGTGCATTGGTTGGATAGAGTTTCTCTTGGTTTGTAAATTTTAAGGTGTGTATAATGCTTTGTAACCGATATATTGATAGAGCGGAATGGCATCAGATTTAGATAATTGATGGACTTTCGTAGGTGTGTATATTTCAATCAGAGTCGAGGGATCATCTTGATTTAGAGTGGTACTCCTTGTAAGTACATTTGTCAACATACACTGTTTTCAGGTCTCAGAAGCTCGTGGTGGGATATCCGAATCATGTAAAAAATCTCAGAGGGGCGGGGAAGGTGATGATATCCTTTGGGGAACGAGATCAACGCAGTTCTTTCAAATAGATATAAAACAAGCTTGCATACGGACTTGTTGCGATTACCACAAAAACCAGAAGATCAAGATTTGGAGAGATATTTGCAACTGTTCTCGTAGTTGTGGTGTTGCTCAACACAGGTGGTTTGAAAGTAGCTGAGAGATTAAATTTGGTCCTAAGTGGTTCAAAGATGGCGACCAATGTCACAAACAGTTCGGCAGCCACGGCCATGACCTTCTCAATGTGCACAGCATGAACCTGCGACGCATGCACTAACAAGAATGCGCAATGGTTTTGCTAAGCCTGCGACACGCAAATGCACTCTGCGAACGCTCTGTCTCGTCGACACGAACAAATTCATCTTTCTGCCCATGGCATGAGGACGCCATCTAACGCCGAGGGATTCCAGGTTCCAGAGGAGGGAGAGTGCGGTGCCCATATCATGAAGAAGCGACACCCACATTCTGAACAGGTTCTGGCCAAAATTGTGTTTGCATAAACCACCACTAGAAGACAGTGGAGATTATTATAGCACACTACCTCTCAGCTCAGTTCTCCGTCATACATTCATTGAGTTCATCATGCCTCCAATATCAATATTCAAGCATACTGATTTTAAAAAGATGTACAGAGCTAAAACCCACGTTTCCAAATGTTTCGCTTCCAAGAAGTTTTTCCTTCCGCCATTTTGTTGAGGTCCTAGATACAGGTGATTCAACTGCCGAGAGCTAACTTCTCAAATTTATGGTGGTGGTTGGAGACCTGGTGGTGGTAATGGTAATGGACATGGCCGAGGAGCCGGCAACAGAGGAGGGGGTAGTGGAGGAGGCCACCGAAATCACCATCTGAAGGATTTTTATCTCCAACTCGTGCTTTTCTTCGCGATTGTCAATGCATTTCGACTTGCGACTTAGCAAGCGTAAAACATTTCTATCTCATCAAGACAACGTACAATTGAAGTGGATTTGTGAAAGCTTGTCCCTGAAGAATTGGCAACTCTTTTCACGTCCACGGAGCGGTCGACCATGAGCAGAGGTATGCACTGCGGAGCCTTAAGCAGGATAATAATGTAATAGATGTGTCTGAAGTTGTGTCCACTTGGCAAGCTGTATTGCAAATAAGATTTGATGTCCTCAACACAGCAGCAACACATTTTTAAAGTTACGGATGGGGCAGCACCGAAAAAGAACTTAAAAACTCAAAAATCACAAAACTTAAAAATTAAAGACTCAAGGCAAACAAGATGTTAGTGTCATTCTAAGTTTCCAACACAAACGGTCGTGGCTGTGTCTAAATTGCTGCATTCATGTGCAACTGGAAATAGAGATAAAATTTTATACTTGTTTCAATACTGCTATTTACTTTGCAATTTTAATCTTGCACACAGCCTGCGTATCACATGTGAATGGTTGAGCATTGATGTTAATGCATTGCCCATTAATGTGCCATATAATGTAGCTGAATATATTTTAGCTATTTGTTGGGTGATTACTCAAAGACTTTGGTACATTGGTAATTGTTCAAAAAACTGTGTAGAAAATATCATACTATTTTCACTTAAAATATCTTTTACAAACTCAATTTTTTAATATTCTTAAAATAGCATATTTATTTTTTATATAACTATTCTTAAAATATAATATATATATTTTTATTATTAGTTTAAAATATTTTATTTAAATTTCAAAAATACAAAATATACATATATAATGTTAAGGTTTTAGCAAAATTGACGGTATGAGTTATGTTTATTGTGCATCTCCTCTTTAAAGAGTGTCTTAATCTTAAGCCACTACATGGACATTTCAAAATGATAACTAGAAACAAATTTCTTGAGTGATAGTGCATATGAGAATAAATAGCTTGTATTTTCTTTTAGTCTAAAATACTAAGAACTAATGTATTTGAAGGTGTGAACTAACAATAATAAATACCAACAAGAAAAAAAAATAAAGTTGTAAAATAAGAACCAATTACTCCAAACCTTTAGAAAGTTATAATTTTCTATTGCTTTATAAAAATTAAGGGAGATAAATTTTTAATGGTATTTCTATTATGTGTAGGTGTCTATAAAGTTGGTACATATTTACTTCAAAACAATGTTAAGAAATGCACAAGCATTTTTCTCAAAAGTAAAGACAACCCAAATCAGAAATCAATGATATATTTCAACATTATGGCAAATATATTTAATGTCTTTAGGAAACCTTCAAGGAGTCTTGCAAATACTTTTTGGTTTGCATTGCAAGATGGTCAATCCTACAACATTGTTTTAAATTTACTTATTCTTAAAGTTCAACAAAAAGTCTTAAATCCTAATTCTTCTTTCAATTAACTTAAAATATTTTGATAAGGAATTATTAGAACAACATGATATTATATCTAAACAATTTTGTGACTTAATTCAAAAATGTGAAATGTTAAAGCCTTGTGTAATATCATATTTGTGGTAATATTATTTACAAAATGCCAAAAAGCATATTTTTTTTTAGTAACCACACATCATTTTGCAAACTTACAAATTATGTTGAGAAATCAAAGGTGTTAAATGTAAAAAATGGAAAATTAAACTGAAATGACCAACCCAATAAACATTGGCACTTGGAGGGAGTCAAGACAGGAGCAATACTTAAAACAATTGCACTTCGAAGGCTTAAGCCCTAAATTAATCCTAAATTAAGCTGCGTCGTCTTCACTTTCTACGCCAAGTTGCTTCCATTTCTTACTCCCCTTTGCTTCCATGAAGAATTTAAAGCGCTTCATGTTTCCAAGGGCCTCATCGTGACCCTGTCGACGTCACAACGGCCCCATCCCCTCTTCACGCACAGCTCCATAGCCGGAGGTTTCGAGTTTTCTGCCTCGAGGCCACTGCAACGCGGTTCTAAGAACCCGCGGATTTGTGATTGCCGGGGTGTTGTCACCATGTTAATTTCATGGCAACGTGTAGAGGCTCGCCTGCAGTCACTTGCGATTTGGCGTTACACTTAATCAAGAATCGGATTGTCTTCGTTGCGGTGTCGATCGTCTCCACCGTTGCCGAACTTGTAATGGCTGAGCTGATGCCACATGAAATAGCCACCCTAGGAAAGCCTCTCAGATCGACATTTATTCCAGTGGTATCACCAATTCTTTTGAGAATTTGGGCTATACAACTGAATTTTTCGCCATCTGTGACACCGTGTGATGCCTGAAACCTCCCGTCTTCGCCATGTGTGGGTGATGCATGAGGTGAAGTGGCTCTTTTTTTCGCGGTAGGTATCTGATGGAATCACGCTCGGCTCCCCTCTGCAACCGTTATGCTCAAATGGTTGGTTACACAGTTCCCGGATTGAGCAATTGAAGGATGTCTTTTCAGCTTTACATCACTCACTCCATCCTATTAAAATTTCCTAGTCCGAAGCAAGGCATGCACAGCACTGTAACCAAATATTTCGGAAGACTGAAATATCGTCCCAGCAAATACAAAGATTTTGTGATTGTGCTCGGTCAGGTGAAAGCATCAGAAGGAAATGAACTCTGCATCATGCAGAACCAGGTGTATGTCACGTCGAGGAGTAGGTATCTGATGAGCTGCGCATTGAACAGATTATTCGTTCCTTGGATGGATCCTCGAAGTGTTCTGGAGCATACTTACTTTAGGCCGTTGACTTATGTTGCGGAAGGCCTTTGTACACATTGCCTTGAGATTATCGTAATTGAGTTCGCGATGGGTACTTTGTGCTTGTTGCTTAGGATCTTCAGATTATAGGAGCGGGTGTGCATCGCCTGGATAGTGGGGTTTGAGTAAGAGGGCTGTCTGTTAAGAAGCGGTCGAGTGGAGAGTAATGGCTGCCGAGACGGACAACGTGACGGTGGCGGAGGTTCGAACAGAGTTGGGAGCCGTGGGACTCGCGGATGATGCTGGGCAGAACCTGGTGCTGGACCAAGCCACATTCTTCCGATGTGTGGAGAATGGCAACCTTTCCGTGCTATCTGCTTTGCTCAATAATCGGAAGGTGGACGTTAACGCCTACAATGACGAGGTAATCAATAATCCCGCTGCAGATGCTCTATGCCGAATCTCTACGCACACAGCAGCTCGTACTAATCCACAATCTGTTCAACGCCAAATTTGATTCTTCCTCCCCTCACGATAGATTATAGGAGGGATCACGGATGGGGTTCCGCAAGTTCAAACTTCAATGAGCACAGAATGTTTTCATTGATCGAAATTTTACAAGGCTACGGAGAGTCTCACTAGTACCCTGTCTTTAGCAGTGACATCCCTGCATTTAGCAGTGTACAAGTACGAGGAGGCACGGAACCTTGACATAATTAAGTTCCTACTCGCGCACGGCGCCAACATTTCTCTCAAAGCAGCCGTGCTGCCATCTGCACATAAGATCTCGATCACCCTTCGTGACCAAGCTGGCTCAACCGGCAATGTCGTAGAGACCAAGAAGATCGCCCTGGACCAGAAGACTCCTCTTCTTGTGGCCCTGGAACTGAAATCTACTCTCTACCTCAGGGGTACCTCCATTTCGTGCCTTCCTGTCCTTCAATGTGTATTTTTTGCAGCCAGTTTCTAAGCAAGGGCTTCACAAAAATTCCTCAGTTGCTCACGATTTAGGGTTTGCAATCATCTCAGCTCCGTCGTCATAGCCGTACGACATGGCTTTTGTTTCCTTATGCGGTCCTTTTGCCCTGTGCGTCAGGTTGGGACTACCGCCATTGGGACGAGGTGCTGAAATTATTGGCCGAGGCAACCATTGTGCACCACAGAAACAATGTGGAAATTAAAGCTGAACGGCAACCTTCTGCAATGATTCAGAAGAATTGGGCGGCGGTCTTTGCGAGTGAAAAGCACGAGACAATCGAAGTGTGGGCAGAGGACAAGAGCATTACCGTTCTAAAGCTCCTTCTCGCTGGTGCATCGAAGGTTGACAGATTCTCTTTTTGTGCTGAATTTTTAAGGGTTTTCTAAATCCGTAACTGAATCTGATTTGAAACGATTAACAGTCGGCAAAGCTTGTTCTTGACGGTGTTGTGCAGATTCTGAAGCTTAACATTGAGCATCCGGACGCGCATCACTCGAATAGGCTAGACATCAAGGAAGCATCGTTCAATGTTACAAATGCCATCGTGGAGTTTCTCTACACTGGCATGGTTGACACAGCGATTCTGGAGCAAAGAGGCCTTGATCTACTGTCTGCAGCTCACAAGGTTAGCGTCCTCATCTTTGTTTCCTTTCAGCTGGTTTTTGTTGGTACGTGCAAATCATTTATCAGACTCGCTTACATTTCTTTCGAAATAACATGCACTCGGCTCGGCTGATTGTTCCTGGAGTGTAGCTGTTGCGTTAGGCAAGATGTAGAGTATTGTGCTCTGATGATTATTCTTACATATGACAAGCGCTAATATTGAGCTTCAAAAGCAGTATGGAATCAAGAGCTTAAAGTGGGTTTGCGAGGATTCAGTTCAAGCTACAGAGAGTACGTGACACACTTTCTTCAAGGATCACTACAAAATATTATGATGAAACAATTCGAGTGAAGTTTGATCAAGCTGGCTTGCTTCTCTTTTTGGTTGAATATGCTAGGCAGATAGGCTAGTGGGGCCATAACTATTGAACTCCTAATACCTCTAGAGTCTGAAAACTTTGCATCGGTTGGTTGTGACTACTAGATAACTGGATCAAGCTTCTATCCGCCGCCATCGAGTGCGACTCCAACATGCTAACTTTTAAGTGTGCCGAGTCGATAAAAGGAGTCATGGATGAACGACATGAGAAACACATCGACATCAAGAAAAACTTCTCAGACATCAACGACGCCCCTCATCAGCTCTTCGGCCGCCATTAAACCCCCTGAACCACCTTGATCTTCATTCAAACCAGGAATAGTGTTGTTGAGTGTAAAGTCATTCACAAGTCACACGCGATCTTCTTCATTGCTGTAAAGAACCTACAGCTCCTTGTGTGTGTAGTTTCTTTACTGACACCATTTGTAAGTTGAGCGAACTTCTACTTCCTTTAGATTTTGTTTTCACGGAATTGAATTCCATGGATCAATTTTCTCACTGCTATTTTCCCACTCTTGTCCACTCACAGGAGTTGGGAATGTGTGAGCATAGATTACTGCCATAACCTAACAATTAAAGCTTTCAACACTCTGTGAATCATCTCATCTCATGCTTCCCTCACTCTCCCTGCCTTATTCGAAACATTGACCAAAAGCCCATGAACATATTCATCAGGCTCCAAACCATTCTCCTTCATTCCCCTGGACGTCCCCAACACGATGTCGAGTTGGTTAGAATAACCAACGTGGCGGATGAGGGCATTGTAAGCAAATCAGTCCAGCTCACATCTTGCCCGCTTCTTGAACACAAAATTTTGCTCAACCTCACGTACGCATGTATTGTGAGAACATACAGGATCCCTCTCTTTTAAAACAGATCAAAAATCTATTTAGCCGTGTTGGCACAGCCGTAAGTTGCGACAAATTTTCACAGTATGTTCGGTCGCAGAGGACAACGCTCCCCAATCATTTCCTATAACAGAATTCTCATGAATTCAACAATGTCCCAGACAACCAAGACAACTAGCATGGTGTTTAACGAAGCCGGACTGTATTAAAGTCCTTTCTGAGCCTCGGCCCGGTTAACCAGTTTCAATCCTGCATCTGCTTCTGCGGATCCTTCAAAACGCCATAAAACAGAACTAGTCTAGCCATAATAAAGCCTTCCCCCTCAAACGGAGCTCGATGTCCAGATTAACTTCTTAGCAACGATCAACGCGTTTTTTTCACGTTTCGAACAGGATCGGAATAGTGTCTTGAGCTGATGATTGAAATTTCAAGCCCGCTCAAGTGCGTTCCAATCGCGAATCAACACTCAAAGTAGGTAACTCGTGAGAGAAGCTCCGTAAATCGTGGAACTGAAAGCATATCTGAAGAGGATAAATTCTGAATGATGTAAGCACCGCACTTGATGTGAAGAAAGCTCAGAAAACGAAATGAGAAGAAAGTGCGTCATCTTCGACGTCGGGTACGCTAATCCAGAGAGTTTGGTTTGCAGTGCACATTCCTGCTCTTTCAACACCGAATCTTAGGTTTCCTTTCACCTGCGGCTGTAGGCTATGCTTGGCCATATCTAGTGCTCTAGCACCTGTCTCCACGCACTGAATTGACAGAGGCTCAATCATCTTCACCTTCCCAAAGGGTGCCATTTCACTTCCTCCAAACCCTAAAGTGAAAACACTGCAAAGAATTGCACACATTCGCGAACACATACGCGGAATTTTTAAGCGAAAAAAACGAGAGACGTAACTGGAGATGATGCACACCAAGCCAAGTGCGGCAACAACACGCGAACAACACGGAAGGATTTGAATTAGTCCCGCTCGAAGGACATATCGGAGGCTTACTCCAATCCTCAAACTCAGTCAAGCCCAGAGATCGACAATATTCCTCAAATAAGCATCAACGACCTCGCTCTTCACGGTGTGGGGTTTTGTGGAGGTTGTGTTGCTTCATCGAAGGCCAGCTTTGAAGAAAGCCGTTTCATTCATCCAATGAGGATGATTTCGAGGAACTGGTGAAGCAAGTGTGGCTCAAGCCTGTGCTCCAGGAGATTTTAGAAACTTCTGAAATTGTCAGTTGCGATTGCAATAGTGAGCGATTCGCTCTGTTTGTCAGATAATCAGCGCAGAACTTCAGATTTCGTGAAGGATATGATGCCTTCAAATTGTGGATCATTAGACTCTGTGTAGGTGGATGGCGTATCTGTAGGTGTGGAATGCTGGAGCAGTCTGATTTCGAACGCTCGGGTGGCATCAATTCTGTGTTCTGTTGCAGTTGATGCTGTGCTTGACGAAGTCAGATGAGTGCGCTCCGGTTTTGGATATAGTTTAGCGATAGGATTCCGTGTAGTGTAGTTGAGAGGAGGATGATGTCGATGATCGGAGATATGACGCTTAGATTGGGAGGCATGGCGCCTCTCATAATCTTTGCCTTGCTCTTTATCCTGCAGATTTTTCTGCGATTTTTGCCTTCTTCAGGTAATAAGAAGCGCATGCCGCCCCAGGAGGCTGAACTGGTTCGCCAGATCAAGCAGTTGAATCGAGAGGCAGATGCGCTGAACACGTAACTCAATCGATCCTACGCTCTTGTTTTAGGGCTTGTGTGTACTTCTCAGATTTTTTTTAGAGGATTTGGGTTAATTTATGTCTACGGGGTTCTGTGCAGGCCGGCAACTTTTGCCAAGTCTTCGAAGTTGCGACGTGCTGCCGTAGCGAAAGATAAAGAACTCGCGCTGTGTAGGTTTCGTCTGATGCAACAATTCTCCAGCTTGATTTATCATAACACTTCTTTCAGCGGTTTTGTGCTTTGCTATTCTCTGCACCTTTAGCATAAGTCATGTATAAGTAGACGAACTATAGTCTAGACAGAGGTGCTCTGGAATTATTTGAATTTGGATATCGGTTTCAGCAGCAAGATCAACTAGCGATGCTGTGGAGAGTTATCTTATTTAGATTTTTTGGTCCTTGCAGTGAGGCAGTCGACTGGTGGTACGGGATATGGTTGGCTTGTTAAGAAGCTTTCTGCGTCTTTGTTGATAAAGGTATCCTAATCGTTTATATCCCATCCTTTAGATCGAATTCCTTCTTCTGCACCTCAACATTTCTGCAAAGCTGATATTGAACATAGACGCCTAGGATGCAAATGTGCGCGTATTTGCAAAACTTTGTTTTCTGCCATGATGTGGCGTTAGGGTTTTTTATTGTCATTATTGATCACCACTAGGTGATGTACAGGTGATTTTGATCCTCGGAATAGGAGGGTGGTTCAGGCAGATACACGTGGCTTCTGTCCCAGCCTCTCTACTGCAGCCTTTCGGTAAGTGTTTAATATTGTGCAAATTGCTTACGACTGCTATCCTTTTGGGCAATAAGCGGACAAGCACATACAAATACACTGGTATTCTGGTGGACAAGTCGTTTTTGAAAAGTCCATGGTCTAGTACAACGGATAGTTGCGAAGGTGACTTAATTGTATTATTTGCATTGAAGCTAATGTTATCGAACTTGTACTTTAAAAAACAAGTGTAGAATAATGCAACCTTCTCCAAGACACTTATTGTCTGTCCATCTGACTCACAATTCCTTTTTTTTTTCCTTCTTTGTACGTAGGTGGAATGCTGGCTGCAAAGAGTGATAATTCAGAAATGATCAATGTAAGTCCCCTTGTCTGACCATAAAATGGTGGCTGATCGGTTTTGTAGAACTGATACGACTCTCCACCTTTTTACATGCCTAATCGAAAACATATCAACTCTTTAACCGCCCTAAATATTCCTGCAATAGAACTGAGGTTATTGGTCCGTTATACTAATTTTTCATATTGAACTGTGCGATTCATACAGGTGAGCATCATGCCATGGATGATTCTGAGCACAACCGTTGCCAGTTACTTGGTAAACATGGTATGGCATCAGCGACAAGGCCCACTTGAGAAGCTAAAAGCCAACTAACTGCGTGTCTGCAAGAACTTCCAGCGTGATCCAGCCTGCATTTGCTGCCTTAAGCATGATATGCTCAGCAATACAAGGCTTTTCTTGCCAGATGCTACTTATGGTGCTTGGAATTCATGCTCCTAGTTTCCCATTGGACATAAACACTTATAGAAAAAAATTTACAGGGAAATAGTAGGAAGGGAGGTTAGACAATAAATAGCTTGATCTGTTTTTTATTAGCATTTATTGTCCTGCCTTGGAAACCATTGCAGTATACATCCTCAGGAGTAGTGTGGTTAATAGGAGTTTTTCTCGTGTAGTTCAGCTGAAGGTGGGTATTGAGGACAATTTTGTGCAGCATGCAAATGAACTTCCTTGGAGACATAGGTCCGATCCTCGAAAGTCCATTTCCTTGGGATGTTTGTGAAACAGGTAATTTGGACGTCATGTATTTGCAAGTAAATGCGAATATGATATGACTTTTGTTTTTTGAAAGTAGTGTCAATCTTTAGCAATCTGTGGCATTCCAACTACACATTAATGAAACTCTGTAATTTTGTAATTTATGGTGATTTCGTTGGCACCATGGGCCTTGCCATGGTAATCCAATCAAACATTTCTAAATCTTATCATAAATTCCTAAAGAGTTAATATGCTTCTGATGAAGTACATCAGAAACTAATGATACAACTTTAATATAGTCTACAGAAATTGTAAAAATTCAACTTTTTTTCTATTAAAAATTTCATGAAGATAACGCTTCACATATCGTAAGTAATTGATGTTTTGTTTTTATTATAATCTACCAATAGTATCTGCTTGAGAAAAATACATTTTTTATTTTTTTTTTTTTTCATCTACAAATGGAAATAATGTTGAAATGCCTTCGAACATTACATTTTGCATTTCTCGACTTGTTCTTGAATTAATATACTCCATATTTTCTATGTTTGAATGACTTTTTTACTAATTCAAATTATTATTCTGTTTTTTTCTTCACATTAATGGATGTAACAATTACTACATCACTAAAACTTTTGAATATTATTGTTGTTATTATTATATTCTCTTTGGATAGTTATCCTTATTTACAGCTTGTGTTATATTCGATGTTCAGTACTTTATTTTGGTTACCATCCAAAATTATAATAGTTTTTTCTAAATTTAGAAACAAGTTTTTCATACACATGTGCTAAGGTGTGGTAACTAAACAACCTATATTATTTTGTTGTAATTTTTAGTTAAGTCTTAAAAGGACTAATGGCACATCCCTTATGTGCACTTTAATTATATTCATGTAAAAATAATGTTGAAATGCCTTTAAATATTATATGATTTTTGCAAATATTTATAATATATATATATATATATATATATATATGAATAAAGTATCATCGAAGAATTTATTAAGCTGCTTGATTTTACATGCAATTGATTTGTTATTTTCAAGAAATGTTCTTCTAATAATCAAAATCACATACATTTACATGTATTGTAAAGGTCCTGTTGAAATTTGAAATTTTAACATTATCAGTAATTATAAATTTTAATTTAATATTCTCAAAAAATAGATTGCAAATAAATTTTCAATCATTAATTAATGTTTTTTATATAACAAATTAATCTCAAACTATTTATTTATATTTTAGGTTTTAAAATCATAATAATATATCAAACTGTACTTTTGCTAGCATTTCTTTTTCTTTTTCAAATAAAGTATTTTATAATCAAATTAGTAGGAAAAACTAACAAAAGTCCAAATACTTCTTAAATCCTTTATTATATCTTGTTAACTTGCTGAAAGATTTAAAAATTTATCATGAAAAAAAAAACCTTTTCTGTTTTTTGAGTTTATTTATTTATTTATTTATCTTATAATTATTTTTATTTTTTTAAATATATATATTACGACTTAGCTACCTACAAGTGCACCAAGAAAAGAAAAGAAAAATACGGATTCATATTAATCAAAAAAATTCATGCGTACTCTAAATTTGATAACCATACTTGAACTACAAGTTGGGCTACCAAAAACTCTAGCCAAACTTCCACCTCCAATTTTTCCCAATTATTAATCGGGTATTATATTTCCACAATAGTATTTAAACTAACAAAATTTGTAACGTTTTTTTTTTTTTTTTTTTTCCTGTAATGAAGGGTGGAACTTACAACAGGTCCGGGACCGATACCCGGCGAGGCCTAAACGCGAATACCCTGATTCCCTGATTCCCTCCCTCCGGAATATTTGAATCCCTGCCCCGATTCAGACGCTCGCACCCATTTTTGAATTTTTCACCTTCGCTCTCGTTCCCGGAACTGGACTTCTCCAGAAAGCCATCAACGTCACTCATTTGCAACCATTTTGTAGTGTGCTGCGGTGATATATTCGTTGGATCGTTTGTTGTCGTGTTCAAACGGTGCTTCCATTTATTTCTGTTCGAGCGGAAGCATGTTGTTGTTGTCGCTGTTGTTGGTGTGATTCAGAACGCAACGGTGTCGTCGTATCACGGTGATCTTGCGGAGGTGAGTGGTTATGGAAGTTGTGAGGTACGGCCATGGCGAGCGATGTAGGTTTTTGAGTTTCTTAGTGTCAATGTTGTCGTTAGTTGGAGTGTTACTGTGGAAGGTGGTTCAGGATAGAGTGATGGCAGAGTGATGCAGAGCTATGGAAGAGTGAGGGAGCCGCGGAGTTGGTTGATGAGTGATAGTGGATGTGAGGTCCTTTGGTTTGAGACGGGGGTGATATTGAGAAGGAATCAATGAGTCGGAGGGTGTCGGCAGCGGTGCCGACGAGAGTGGTGGGGAAGACGGCACGGTTGTCAAATGTCGGGCCAGCGTATGGAATTCCCGGGATTTCGAATGGAGGGAAGTCTGGGTTGCTGCAAAGGCGGGCTAGCTTTCACGGGGGGAAGAGCTCGCAGCCTCGAACTGATCCGAGGCCACTCAATGACCGGGCCTTCCAACAGGAATGCATTCGCAGCTTGACGGGGTATCTCTTGACCCACGGTTACAACGTTCCGATTTCGACGAAGCTTTTGGTGTCGCCTGCGAGTAAAGATGTGCTCAATATCGTGCAGTTTTTGTTTCAGAAGGTGGATCCGAACTTGAAGCTGTCCGGGAAAGTTGAGGAGGACGTTCCGGTCGTGTTTAAGAGGTTAGGATATCCGTTCCAGATTAGTAAAAGTGCTCTGTATGCCGCTGGGAGTCCACATACATGGCCAGGATTGCTTGCGGCCTTAGTGTGGCTTATTCAGCTTCTCTTGCACCAGGAGGCGACGGAATCGGTCGAAACGTTTGACGATGCAGGGGCGAGGTCTTTTCTTGAAAATCTTAGTCAGTCTTACCAGTGCTTCTTGGCGGGAGACGATGATGAGTGTGAGCGTCTGGACTATGCGTTTCGTCAGCAGTTTGAGGATTGTACTGCTGAGGTTATGGAGAAAGTAGCCAAACTGAGAGTGCCAGAAGTGGAGGAGCAGTTGCAGAAGCTGTCTACGGAAGTGTCTCCTCTCACAAGTTTGGAGTCAAAGAAGGCCGACTTCTTGAGCGACAAGCAGAAGTTCAATACAATCATTAGCAGTCTGCAGTGGCACAAGCAAGCCGCAGAGAAAAAACTGCAGGAGCGCAAGGAAGACCTTCTGGCGAAGAAAGCTGAGAAGAATGAAATTCAAGCAGACATTGAGGAGCTGCGCAATCGTATTGCTTCACAAGAAATCAATCTTGCAGATATTGAGCGCATGCAGAAAGAGAAAGACCTCCTCGATGCCAACATTCAGCCTATTGTGGCTAAAGATCAGCAGCTTCGCAAGGCAGCGTGGGAACATGAGCTTGCGACTACCAACAAGGAGAAGGATCTCGAGATCCTGTGTGGTGAGCATAACGACCGCTGTCAAAGGTTGAAACCTATTTTAGCAGACGGGCAACCACTTTCTGGAGCTCAGTTGCAAATAACGCTGCAACTGGACAGAACTCTGCCACAGGAAATTTTAGGGACTTCCGTCTCTGGTGGTTTGAAGCAGACTATTTTGGAGGTCATGGAGAGTTGCAAACGGTACACAAATCAAGAAAGAGAAGAAGCAATTACTTGTGAAAAGGAAGTGTATGCATGTGAAGCTGCACGTCAGGAGAAGCTGGACCTGCTCTCTCGAAATGTCGCCACCATCAAGAAATTGGAGGCTCTCTACAAGGCGAGCAAAGAGAAGTGGGATGCGGCTTATGTTGCAGTGGTGAATGAGAGAGAGGAGTTGGAGGCAAAAGTGATCGCGAAAGAAGTCGCTGCGAAGAGAACAGATGCAGACGCTGAGGAACTTGTCAAACAGTGGGAACAACGGTACGAGGCAGGTACCGCAAGCTGTGCCGATCAGCTGGCATCGGCCAAAAAGCAATGGATTGAGGTAGTAGACTATATTCTAAGCGCCAAGGAGCAGATCACCATGCTTTTGCAGAACCTCAAGACCAAAACGCATGTGGAGGCTGGTAAAGTGAAGCGGGACCTGTCAGAACTTGTGTCTACAATGGCAGCCCTGCAGGTGTGAATGCGTTCCTTGGGATTCCTCGTCGGACCAGTATACCTGAACGAGGTTGTATAAAAACCCACAGTGGTCCATACTCGCGGACCAATATACAATCTCTAGCTCCTTGATTTTTAGACTTAAATCATAGTTTGCTGGGTTACATTGTAAAGTCTGATATTCGTTAGGTCTCACCTTGCTTACTAATAAAAACATTCGAATGTTTTGTATGAGCCAAAGTTTTTGGTGACATCTCCACATGGCACGGCCTTAACAGCTGTAACGAACCTGTCTCGTACAGGGGTGAATCTCCCCCACCTCGGCAGTTAGTATAATGTCTTGATAATCTGCTCAATGTCTGACTACTGCATGTAAGCAGTTCTAACATAGGCCCTCCGTGGTTCTCACAATTGATGCTCTCCTCCTAGGAGAAAGTCTTAAGAGCACACGAAAATAGTAGTAACAAAGGAAAATTAATCCGTCTATTTGTTACGAAGTACAAGGAAGAAGAGAGGTAAAGCCAAAGCATTTCTTCGTAGGCAGTCGGCTATGAAAGTGAGTGAGGCTGTCTTGCCTACATAGATGCCTACAAATGAGTGGGACTTCGGTGCTTTCGAAAGTCTATGAACTCATCATTGCCCTAATTTGTCTCTCGTTGTTCATCCAAAAACCATTTGAGCTCCTGTCTTTTGCAGTTTTCTAGTACAGACATAAGTATATATATATGTGCATAGTTTGTATTATTGATTATGGAAATACTCCTTGTAAACCCCAACTCATTTTTAGTGGTGGGAAGGGTTTCCTTAATTTTTTTTTTTTTTTTTTAAATTATTTGGAGACATTAGGTCTAATATTTACACAAGATGTACTTATTATTGAAAACACTTGGTGGTTTATTGTACAATGAGATGCAAAATGAACTTATTTTGTTATTTTGATTTTAACGTTTATTTTGAAACTGGATAATTTAGTTTAAATGTAAGTATAAAATCTCAAAATAGTTTTTATTGTGTTTTTTTTCTATATGCATTTGTGAAAATTTATGTATTAAATTACACACATTAAACAAATATGTATAATACAATTTGCAAAACATAACATCTATGTTTTCTATTGTGGCACATATATACACACAATGTTGAAGTAAAAAAAATCACATATTTATTTTATTGTTAATTACATCAATTGCTAGGACTATTTCAGATAATTCATAAAAAATACATTTTATATATTTATACATTTATACATATATAGGAAAACATTAAATTATTGTAGACAAATCTTAAAAATTGACCCACTTTTGTTGTTGCCATCATATACAATGTCCTAACTACTGCACCTATTTACTCCATTCCAACGTTTCCTCTCTTCAATTAGACCACAAAAAAAAGTAAAAAAATTCAATTGTTCTCACTACTTATTGTGCACACATCAGGCACATAATGCAACTGTGAATGAGAAAAAGAACTCTAGAGATGCTAAATGAAGACGTTGGTGATGTAGGATGACCCCCTCTGGTAATTAAAAAGGTAGGTTAATTTATGACATACATAGATCAATTTAATGTTGCTCTCTTGCTTTCTCTTTCTCTCTCTATAAATATACACATCACATTATAAGTATTACATTTTAAAATAAAAATAAGTAATAATACTTATATTTATAAATTTTTAAAAACCTTTTATGCTTTGCTTAATTTAATTTTAAATAATAAATTTAAAAGTAAATAGGTATATATTATCATAATTATAATACCAAATGTTATAAAAATATCAAAGCCATTGCCAATTGTATTCAAGCTTATATAATATTATCACATACTTTATTAAAGTTCTTTATAAATTTTACTATTACTATAAGATTGAAATAGTGGTAGATCTTTCTAACAAGTTTCTATTTTATAAATTATTATTATTTATGAAATTCTAATAATGCTACTTAGTATGTTATAAAAATATTTTAAAATATGAAATTTTATTTTGTTTGATCTAAGTTCAAATGTGCATCAATAAAATATTATTTTTAGAAATTAATAATCATGGTGGCATTTAGAAATTTTTTTGTCTTCAATAGTTAAACAAACCAAGTAACAAAAATTTTAAAAATATTAAAATGATCAAAATCAAATAAATAAAATAATATTTATAAATTATAAATAATATAACAAGCAAGTACTTCTATTTCTAGTGGATTATTGAATAAATCTACTTTGGTTTTAGAACTCAAGATTTCAATAAGTAGATATAATACTTTATAGCAGTTAAAACAAAAAAACAAAAAAAAAAAAAAAAAAAAAAAAAAACTTGACTAATATTTACAAACATATTATTATATATATATTTCAAAAATATAAAAATACTAAATAATAAGCATTTATGTTAGTTATATCTTTATTTGATTGTTAAACAAACCAAATATTATTGTGTAATTTTAAAAACTCTTCTAAAAATATTTTAGACATGTGGTGGTACCAACAAAGGCTCTAGAAAATAAAATAAAAAAAAAACATATATGTATATTTTATTTAAATTGTAAGTGTATGTATTTGAATCTTGATTTGTAAGACAAAAAAAATAATATATGTGATTTTCAAAGTTTACTACCAATACTTTCTTCTATTACAAAATAATACATATCCTACACTAATTTTGATACTTGATCATTTTTAGCCATAATAACCAATATTTTGCAAATCTATACATTTATATTTATAACAGTATGCAACATAGTTGTATGTTACTCAATTTTGGAACTACATTTTTTTAAAACTATTAATGTTGTACAACTTTATATATTGTAATGCATTAATTTTCTTTTAATTATTTTTTTATTAGCATTAAATAGTAGAGCTAAAATATCTATTTTTATTTTTATTTTAAATATACGAAAAATTATAATTTTTTCTACTTCTTATTTATAAAAATAATAATTATTAAAAAAATAATATTTTTTTGATGACTATTTAAAACAAAATAAAATAAAATGGGTTTGCTAAAACTATAAGATAGAAAAAAAAGACCAAGGTTTTTATATAAACAAACATAACATAAAACTCAATTTATAAAGAAAAAGTTAATTCAATACATTAGAAATATTCTAATATTAAAAATATCATACTTATTATAATTATATTAAATCAAAACAACTAACATAATTCATATTTTTATGTTTAAGATATTAGGCAGAGTAGTGTATAACGGAGATAAGAAATATCCAAAACAAATAAATATGTTCAAAAACTTAGTGGATTGAATTTTTCTTTATTATTCTAATGGTTGATTGGAAAAATTGAAATTCTGAAACTAAATTATTTTTTATATTTAATAATGAAAATAAATTAGACAAAAAATTATCTATTATTTTAGATTTACATTTTTTACATTGAAATATATATATATTTCAAAAACATCTCAAAATCCATATTATTTTTGTCAAATTTAAAAAGATAAAATAAAATATTTTTCCATTTATTATTTATTTATTTATTTATATTTGAATGATTTTAGAAAAGATATAATATTATAATTCATTTTCTTCTGAAATATAATAATTTTGCCTGCTAAAATAATAATAATAATAATAATTATTATTATTATTATACTTACATATCCTAATATTGATGACTTGAAGCTAAATCACATTGCAAACACCTAAAAACCACTTTCCATGAACCCAAAATACTGCGATTGTTGTGCTAGAATCCTACAATGCATGGCTGATCTTCGAACAACCCTGTGCTCAAGAGTAGCTAGAAATTAGGGTTAAATGCAGTACTGCAGTGAGGAAGAAGCTGAAAAGCCCAGTCTTGCTATGAAAAACCATGACCATTAGCTTTCATTTGGGTGATGACCCAAGAGTAACGTTTCCTTGCCATTACAATCAGCTCCCTCATGGAGCAAAATTTTGATGTGTACCCAGACGAGTTTAATGTGTTGCATGAAACAACCTTTCCTTCAAACATGAAGAAATTTGCAGAACATTTGGAGCATTTGCAACAGGATTTGGTGGCCAACTCTAAGAGAAGTTTTGAGTAGAAACAAGCAAATTCTGGAACCTGGGTCCTGCACTTTCTGCTGATCCAGAGACTCTGTTTCCTGCAACAAAACAGCAGGTGCCTGGCGTGTGGGCTTTGTTTGATGCGAAGTACGTGGGTTGCAGAGGCTCAGGTCCTGCTTTTAGGACGTTTCCAATGCTGTAACCTTGTGGGAATAGCAAGAAGCGCTCAAACTTGGCCCTCTTCTCGGATAAAACTCTAGTTTTGACATTCTACTTGGTTTTGGTGTTGATGTTCAGGATGATGAGGAGGATGTGAGCTCTGTGGCAATTCACTAAGTCAGGGTGTTTTATTGAAGAGCTTCTAGTCAGTTTTCCTGTATCTTTCTCAGTTTGCTGTGCTTTTCAGAGTTGGGTTGAACAGGCAGGTCGGAGACTGTTTAAGAGAAGGGCTATGCTGTTGGCAGCGATGGCGGGCTGGTGGGGAGGGTTTACGATGCTGCTACTTTTGGTGTGTTCGGTGACCCAGTGCGTTGCGAGTGCTGGTAAACATTCAGACACTGTGGTTGTCTTATGCGGTAAATGAATGTAGCCAGGGTAGTAGGGAATAATACTTGAAGCTGTGAAACTGGAAAGTGGTTTTAAGAGTTTAGCCCTGTGCATCACCCTCGATCATTCCTGATTTTTTTCTTCTGTGAATGTCTCAATATCTTCAAGACTAGTCGCGTTTATCTTTCACGGAGACATGTAGTTAAGGAGTTTGTGAACTACTTGCTGTTTAACCGCGCACCGGCCAATAATGAGGTGACTGGGATTCCACCCGTGGTTTGTGAAACATATTTCCCGCAAATTTTACGTCTCCGTTGACATTATACTTCGCATTCCGGGTTTTTCTGTTCGATTCGAGTGTTGATCGTAGGCATGCATTGTAGGTTATACGCACTTAGTGATACTGAAGAATTTCTCAAATCCGTGTTTAGGGATGTTTGACTGGCCAGTCTTTTAATGGAGGGGGAGCTTCAACTCCATGGATATGCTTTTGAAAAACCTCTTGGTTGTAAAAATGACCAAGAACTTATGCCACGGTAGAGAATACTCAGAAATGACGAATCACTATCATTTCATACGTGAGGTTTCATGCTTTCGCTTAACGAAAAGTATGCACTAGATGACTTTGCTATTTAACGGTTCTCCGAATTTACCATTTTCAGGGACCAGAGCAAACTACCCACAAGCTCTGCAGGTCAGCCTCTCCAAAGAACTTCGTCTCAGGGCTCAACTTCAAGCTACTGGTGAGTTACCTCCTGAGATTGTGAACTTGGCTTTGTCTTCAATACCTTGATCTCGAGGTATACGAGGCAATCTCATAAGAGCTGCCATGTGATTCGCCCCACAGTCATTCAAACCGAAAGTGTAATTTAGTCTTCGACCAATCCCATGTAAAAAGTAGCTGTATTATTGTGATTTGGGTCATTGAAGCATGCTGCAGCTTTTTGTTAGAAACTTGAGAACACATAATAAGCGTTTGGAGATTCAATAAGGTATGAATGTTGACATGTTAGGATTCGATGAGTGTGTTGAACCAATGTCAATTCTCTGTATGCAAGTGAAGGAGTCCGGAGCTGCTTTTTTCACGTTTACTCTTGGCTTAATTAAAACATTGCACCGCTCGTTGTTTCAGACACGCTTGCCGCAGCTCCCCGGGCCGTTCCTCCGGTTACTCGGGTCACTCCACCTGAAGCTCCAAAAGTTTCTCCTGCTCCACCCACACCTGGTATATTTCATAGACCCATTTTTCACTACCTCGATCCTAAAATAACAAATCCTGTGAACCGCTGATAAAAAGCATCAATACCACTGTCCCAAATTCTAGAATTATCAATTTCTTAACACAGCAATAGAACAGCATTTGTTCTCTTCCGCAATTGGGACCCTTCTCTCTGTGTAGGTGAAGTTTTGATCAAGTTTAGATTTTTCTTCTCGTACTGAACAGCGCGGACGTACCTCATGTGGATCGGCATTGGAGTATTCTGCCTCATTATATTGTCTGTCGCCATTTTCTGCCTGTGCCGCAAGTTCGGACAGCGGAAGGTTCGGGGGACTCAGAAGTTGCCATATTTGCCAGGGTACCACTAAAATAGAAACCAGATTGTTAGACTCTAAACCTCACTTCACACAGGGTTATGAAATCTCATCTCAAGGAACTGTGACCAATTGTAAAAGGCTTGATCGAATTGTGGAATGGGCAATTAAAGGATCTCTCCCTCCTTCAAGGTTGGAAATATGCTGTGGAGGGAACGCTTCCATTCTCTCTCGAAAAAAGAAAAAAGAAAATGCTGCTTTGGTCTTTACCAGATCATCAGGGATCATGAGAATGAATATTGTTTTGAATAATTTCTGGTTACCAACATTTGAAAGGCTATTCATTCTCGTCCGAAAGGTCCAGCTCTGAGACTCCCTTGTGCACTGGCTGTGATCTCTGAGAAGTAACAGCATCACAAGTCCAAAACATCAACAAATCAATTGACCTGCTACAAGCTCGCAATCTACACTGTCGGTATCAAGGTGATTTTCTCCTACTACTTTTCACAGAATGACACATGCTCATGCACATGTGTTCAAATCACCAGGTAACCGAGAGCACCAAGATTCATGAAAACCTTTCTTTGAATTGGGGGAAACGTCACATGCATAGATCCAACTATTCAAATGCGCAGAGCTCACAAGAGAGTAGAGCAGGTCTTTCTGGTGGTGAATGAATCTGGCTCTTCATCAGCATGAAGCTCCTCAATTGCTCAGAGAAACTACCAATCACACTGACTGGTAATACTATCGTCCCCTACGACTCCTTCCTGATGTCAGAACACAAAGCAATGACAGATGTTACAATGTACACAAAAAACACATTAGCTTGAAGCATTAGCCTGTTTGATAGCCTCAAAGCCCGGATTGACCCAGCGTTGGCGGACCAAGTGCATTCTGTATGACGAAGTGGCCATGCAAACGGTGCTGCAGCTCACCACCTTGGGTGGTGCTCAGATCCTTCGAAGCCATCCCTGCAACGCTCCTGACAAGATGCTGCTGAAGGTCAGATCACCGAAGCCGGGTGGGGCCCAAGTGGGAGAAGTGGGGTCATTGGAGGAGGAGAAGCAGCAAAGGTGGGTCTCCTTCCTTTCATTCTTGCAAAAATCCACCTGCAATTTCCCATTCCTGAGTAAAAAACAGAATGCCTCGGATTGTGTGTAAAAGCATTCGATTTTGTCCTGCTCTGGTGTATCATTTTCAGGGTGTCGATATTGAAGGAGTCGCATGGATTTGAGGGCGTTGTTGAGTCATGCAATGCAGCATCTTGGGGGCGGGGGG